CTACTTGTTTAAAAACGTTTGGAATTTGAATTTTGTTAATCAGAGCTGTCCTTTACTAGGTCACTAGTCAGGCAACAGTGGGTCACACATTTATTGAGAATCTACTATTGAGTACCAGACTGTATTCAAAACACAGTTACAGAAGGAGACAAACTAAACAAAACTGCATTTTAAAGAGATATATTTTAGTACTGAATCTACTGTGTCTACAACAAATAATACTGACTATCCAGGCATTGTTCTATAAGCTTTAGGTTTAAGTCTTTTAAGTTTTGCACCTACTTTATTAAGTATTATTATCACATCTCTCTCTAAACTCTCTCCTAAGGTGACATCATCCATCCCCCTAGCTTTATATGCCATCTATATATAAACAGTTCCTAAAGTCACATATGCAGCCCTGATTTTTCCTCACTGCTCCTTGGTATTTCATAGACATTTCAAACATAAAAATTGATTTTTTTTACTTGCCACCCTCTCAAACCAATGGTCTCTTCTCCATTCCAGGAAATGGCTTCACAAATTACTTATTCACTCAAATCAGAAATCATCTAATCCTGTAACGAATTCTATCGATTCTCTCTCTAAAATATATCTTTCTCTAACCAGTTCCCTCCATCTCCACTGCTATCACCCTGGGTTAAGCCAACATGTTCTCTCATTTAGATTTCTGTTTGTAATTATTCAATGAAGGGAGATATCCCTTTTATAGTAGCAGGTTAGTAGATGGTAATAAAGTTTACATAATAAAAAACTGTAAAAATTATACCTTTAATGGCCCAGTGACTTGCCAAAATCAAGAAAAAAGTTTCTTCTGTGGTTGCTCACTGCAATTAGCAGTGAGAATAAGGAATAAAAATCTCCATCTGTAATTTCTGAGATTCTCTTTGGTGATCTGTCAAGTGTCCGAGAGATTGTGAGCTAATCAACAGCTATAGTTGAAACAATTTCCCCTGTACCTGACAATTATGCATACATATATGTACTAAATTACAGAATTAATGGCTAGATGGATGGATGAATGACTGCTGCTTTTAATTTTGCATATTCAGAACCCCGCATCTCAAATATTGTATATCAATCTAAGAATTGTATAAGATTATGACATCCATTATTGCAATACTTTGATATAAAAATGGAGGCTCAGAGAGGCTAAGTAACTTGCGCAAAGTCACACACCTAGTATGTGACAGAACCAAGTTTGGAACAATAATTCTCTCCCTCAGCCCAGTTTTCTTTCATTTCTAAGACGGTTTCTTCCAAAAGATTATCTATGGCTGTCTACAATACTGGTGTTAAGAATGTACCTGTTTGGAAACACTAAATATTTATTTACAACTTTCAAAAAACATATTTCAGCTGAACAGAGTTGCTAATGAATCAAGAAAATATATGTCATCATTTTCTACCTGTGCTCACAGAGAAATGGGTTTTTGTTATGAGTGTTTAGGAAATAATTCCTTTGGAAGACTGTATTGTAATTTAATGTACGTTGATTCCATTGTGCCTATTTTTCTGTTTTATTAAGAGAGAAGAAAACACAATACATTCTGTGTTCCATTACTTTTTAAAAAATANTCTGTCCCTTTCCACAATTCACTCATCTAAACCATTCTCCACACACAAAAAAATCCAAAGAAATATCTGTATAAACAAATACAATAACTTTAAGGGACTTTAGGCAACACAGTGTCAATTACTTTACAAGCTATAATTATAAGAGTGAATAACATTTATATAGTGGTTTTACTTAGACACACACTTTTTTGCACATTACCACAATAGTTCTTCATGACAATTCCATGAAGTGGGTATTGTTAATGTCCTTCTTTCTCAATTAAGACACTCAGCAAAATCAAGTCTTTCCCAACGTCACAAAGAACAAATGCTAGACTCATAATGTGAAACAATTTTTTCTCATTCTAAATGCCCTATTTTGGGCACTAGTTAAAGGTAAATACTAAATCGTAATCATTTTTATTTATTTCCAACTCAAGTTGAACTGTCAACTCAAATAACTAACACATTCTGAAGTATGTTTATCTTTATTCCATTTAGGATGTTTTACACTGTATTATAATTGCATATTTAATTGCCCACATCTCCAACATAAATTCTTAAATTTTATAAGATAAAAGGTTATGAATTTTTAATCTTTGGGTTTATAGTGCCCACCTTAATTCCTGACACACAGCAGACACCCAATAAATGTTTGTTAAATTGAATGAACTCTGTTTTTCAAGCAGTGTCCCAGAAAATATCAGGTAAAGGAATATACTTCCTGTATGTCTAGTCTTGTATGCAGGCTCCCTGTTAAGTGATATTTTGAAAAGAGGAGACAAGCCATTCACCTATAAATGGGTCTGAGGGGATCAAGGGATTCATGCAGATCAGAATTCATTTCTCTGCCCACTTCTGACATTTCCTCTTGAGCACTTCCATACCTGGAACCCCTTGCCATGATATTATGACTTTTTAAAATGAAATGAAAGAATATTTTCTCAATATGAAGTACTTACTTTCTAGATCCATAAAGATTTCCATAGGCAGTAGAATCATTACAACTTTCCTCCTGATTATCAATGGTATAATTAGATTGGTAAAAATCGGAGTCACATTGTCCCAGGTTTGACATCCTGAAAAATAACAGTGCTTTTTACTGAGAAGTTTTTCAGTCAATAAAACTTCTTTTGAGATATTACAACAATTAACCGACAATGTGATTATGACTGGATTCCTATTAGAGAACAGGATATTCATTGGATGGAATAGATTAAGTATTGTGGGAAGGATGTGAAAATGTATGCT